CACGCTGTCTTACACGTCGTTCCAGAGTATCCCAAACATGCTCAATGGGTGACGTCTGGTGAGTATGCAGGCCATGGAAGAACTGGGACACTTTCAGCTTCCAGGAATTGTGTACAGATCCTTGCAACATGGGGCCATGCATTATCATGCTGAAACATGAGGTGATGGTGGCGGATGAATGGCACGACAATAGGCCTCAGGATCTCGTCATGGTATCTTTGTGCATTCAAATTGCCATCAATAAAATGCAATTGTGTTCATTGTCCGTAGCTTATGCCTGCCCATACCATAACCCCACCGCCACCATGGGGCACTCTGTTCACAACGTTGACGTCAGCAAACCGCTCACCGACACGACGCCATACACACTGTCCGCCACAGTTGAAATCAGGATTCATCCGTGAAGAGCACACTTCTCCAACATGCCAGTGGCCATCGAAGGTGAGCATTTGCCCACTGAAGTTGGTTACGACGCCAAACTGCAGTCAGGTCATGACAAGCTTCCCTGAGACAGTTTCTGCAGAATTCTTCCGTTGTGCAAATCCACAGTTTCATCAGCTGTCTGGGTGGCTGATCTCAGCCGATCCCGCCGGTGTAGAAGCCGGATGCGGAGGTCCTGGGCTGGCGTGGTTACATGTGGTCTGCGATTGTGAGGCCGGTTGGACGTACTGCCATATTTTCTAAAACAACGTTGGAGGCGGCTTATGGTAGATAAATGAACATTCAATTCTCAGGCAACAGCACTGGTTGAAATTCCTGCAGTCAGCATGCCAATTGCACACTCCCTCAACTTGAGACATCTGTGGCATTGTGTTGTGACAGAACTGCACATTTTAATGGCCTTTTATTGTCCCCAGCACAAGGTGCACCTGTGTAATGATCATGCTGTTTAATCAGCTTCTTGATATGCCACACCTGTCAGGTGGATGGATTATCTTGGCAAAGGATAAATGCTCACTAACATGGATATAAACAAATAATTTCACAAAATTTGAGTGAAGTAAACGTTTTTGTGCATATGGAAAATTTCTGGAATCTTATTTCAGCTCATGAAACCAACACTTTACATGTTGCATTTATATTTTAGTTCAGTGTAATACATATATCTACAGTGAGGGAAAAAAGTATTTGATCCCCTGCTGATTTTGTATGTTTGCCCACTGACAAAGACATGATCAGTCTATAATTTTAATGGTAGGTTTATTTGAACAGTGAGAGACAGAATAACAACAAAATAATCCAGAAAAACGCATGTCAAAAATGTTATAAATTGATTTGCATTTTAATGAGGGAAATAAGTATTTGACCCCTCTGCAAAACATTACTTAGTACTTGGTGGCAAAACCCTTGTTGGCAATCACAGAGGTCAGACATTTCTTGTAGTTGGCCACCAGGTTTGCACACATCTCAGGAGGGATTTTGTCCCACTCCTCTTTGCAGATCTTCTCCAAGTCATTAAGGTTTCGAGGCTGACGTTTGGCAACTCGAACCTTCAGCTCCCTCCACAGATTTTCTATGGGATTAAGGTCTGGAGACTGGCTGTGCTTCTTCTTGAGCCACTCCTTTGTTGCCTTGGCCGTGTGTTTTGGGTCATTGTCATGCTGGAATATCCATCCACGACCCATTTTCAATGCCCTGGCTGAGGGAAGGAGGTTCTCACCCAAGATTTGTCAGTACATGGCCTCGTCTATCGTCCCTTTGATGCAGTGAAGTTGTTCTGTCCCCTTAGCAGAAAAACACCCCCAAAGCATAATGGTTCCACCTCCATGTTTGACGGTGGGGATGGTGTTCTTGGGGTCATAGGCAGCATTCCTCCTCCTCCAAACACGGCGAGTTGAGTTGATGCCAAAGAGCTCCATTTTGGTCTCATCTGACCACAACACTTTCACCCAGTTCTCCTCTGAATCATTGAGATGTTCATTGGCAAACTTCAGACGGGCCTGTATATGTGCTTTCTTGAGCAGGGGGACCTTGCGGGTGCTGCAGGATTTCAGTCCTTCACGGCGTAGTGTGTTACCAATTGTTTTCTTGGTGACTATGGTCCCAGCTGCCTTGAGATCATTGACAAGATCCTCCCGTGTAGTTCTGGGCTGATTCCTCACAGTTCTCATGATAATTGCAACTCCACGAGGTGAGATCTTGCATGGAGCCCCAGGCTGAGGGCGATTGACAGTTATTTTGTGTTTCTTCCATTTGCGAATAATCGCACCAACTGTTGTCACCTTCTCACCAAGCTGCTTGGCGATGGTCTTGTAGCCCATTCCAGCCTTGTGTAGGTCTACAATCTTGTCCCTGACATCCTTGGAGAGCTCTTTGGTCTTGGCCATGGTGGAGAGTTTGGAATCTGATTGATTGATTGCTTCTGTGGACAGGTGTCTTTTATACAGGTAACAAGCTGAGATTAGGAGCACTCCCTTTAAGAGTGTGCTCCTAACCTCAGCTCGTTACCTGTATAAAAAGACACCTGGGAGCCAGAAATCTTTCTGATTGAGAGGGAGTCAAATACTTATTTCCCTCATTAAAATTCAAATCAATTTATAACATTTTTGACATGCGTTTTTTTGGATTTTTTTGTTTTTATTCTGTCTCACTGTTCAAATAAACCTACCATTAAAATTATAGACTGATCATTTCTTTGTCAGTGGGCAAACGTACAAAATCAGCAGGGGATCACATACTTTTTTCCCCTCACTGTATAACCACAAGGTAGAGGAAAGGTTCATCTTATAACATGCATTGCATATGGGTGTGTCATGATGATACACAAACGCAACAAATTACAACTGAGATTTACTTGTTTTGCATACATTTATTTATCTTTACTTAAGGACATACAACATTTGATGGTGTTCAATGGCAAGCTTTGCATGACTCAAGTATTTTGATATGGATGCCTTTAGGTTTCAGCAGGTGAGGCTTGCTGTAGAATCAGCCACCACACAACATACTACAGTCAGACATAAATCAAACAAAAATGCTGCTTTTAAGTTTTCCAGGAAAGGAACATTTTAACAACTTCAGAAAGCTGTGTCACCTCAACACATGTAGAGTACATTATCATTGCTGCTGATGCAGTGTTCAGTCTTCATTTGCACGGCAGATGAATTAACATGTTATACAAAGTGTAATCACATAGAATGACAAAAAGCAAAATCAGAATAATTTCTCCTTTTAAGACGGGGTTCTTACTTTGGATCAAGTAGCTGAGAAAGTCTGTATTGGTCCACACCATCACTAGGTAATGTAATGGATCGCAAACATTGAAAAGTGCTTCAAGATTCTACAATAGTCAGTGGAATACCATTTCAGCATTTCATATCGCTATAAAAAAAAGGAATGCAAAATCTGGTGTAGAAGAGTAAAAGCTTAACACTTATGGGTTTATGATGAAACCATGTGTTGACCCTTTACTTGGAATTGTCTTTTGAGCATGTGTAGGTAAGTGTGTGTGACTTGCCTAACGTGAAAGTTGTGTGTTTCGCTTGAGGTGCTTGACAGGGTTGTAGTTATTCTGATATGTTCTGAGATGGGGGTGCTGATTTGTAAAGGTAGAATTGGTTGCTGATTGTAAAGGGTTTCAAATCTTAGTGAATAGAATGCAGGTAGAATGTAGAATTGCTCATTAAGAAAATGATTGTGAATGAGCAGGTGTTGATTGTGAGTGCATAGCGTTACGTAGCATTAGCAAAGGATGCTGACGGAGTGTGGTGAAGGTGCTGACTGGGAGTGTAGTGGAGGTGCTGACTGGGAGTGTAGTGGAGGTGCTGACTGGGAGTGTAGTGGAGGTGCTGACTGGGAGTGTAGTGGAGGTGCTGACTGGGAGTGTAGTGGAGGTGCTGACTGGGAGTGTAGTGGAGGTGCTGACTGGGAGTGTAGTGGAGGTGCTGACTGGGAGTGTAGTGGAGGTGCTGATTGTGACTTTGCCAATAGTGCTGGCTGGTCATGAGAGTGGAGGACTTCTGTAAGGCTTCTCTGCTACAACATTAACAACCTGCTCAGTTCAAAATTAAAGTAAACCAACACAATTACATACAGCAGAGGCACCCACAAGAGAGGACAAGTTTAAGGAGAAACTCTGACCTTTGGCCTCAGTAAGGTATGTTATGTACTATATGCCCTGCATGTACATTAAGTGACAGATGCCTTAGGCTGACTTAAGCAGTACTGTGAGTCAGGTGACCATAAACACAAGTGAATAAGAAGACAATCTGTGTTGAATCAAAACAAAGGCTAAAATGTCAACTCATAATGCACTATAGCTTGACATGTGCAACATAATCCAGCATCTGATTATTATAATAAATGATCAAATATGACAGCACCGCCAGATGTACATGAACCTACCTAGTAAAAAGTATACACCACTCAATGGGCTAAAATGGTCATCAGATTACTTCCAAAACATCAGAAGTATATAAGACATGTAGAGGAACCACCTGTGAGAGGATAACCCCTGGATAAGTAGTGACATCATCACCCTGAGAGACCAGGGCTGTCATGGGAATACTTATTGGACATCACAGATCAATGGATAATGGACTGAGTGAAGGAGCAGAGGGTCAAATTGAATCGAGCAGTAAAGCCTATGTGTGTGTCCTGTCTGTATCTAATCCTCCAACACTGGCCCCCGACAAGCTCTCTAAATTGAGCAATGTCTTCGCTCCGATAGAAAAGCTGAGGACAAACTGAGGTAGGCAGAAAAAAAACACGACTGCCATATCCTCTGTGCACACCAAAGGATATGACAGTAACCAGCACCGGGACAACTGGGACTAACTTGAACCCCTTTATTCTACTGCAGCAAAAAAGCGCATTGATGACCTTGCGCAATATCAAGACTGATCCGAGTTTGTAAAGGATAAGATCTTAAGAGTTCTATGACACCCTGCAGTCCAGCCCCGGTGCTGGTGACAGCATGCTGTGTGTATGCTTTAGTGTAGTGTGCACAGGTGTGGCCTCCAATGCTGGCTCCCCTGCTTTGTAAGAAAGGATGGGAGCTTTCAGGGCTTCTCTTGCGGGGCCTTAAGGTGAAAGGGCGCAGAGACAAAGGGGTCTACTGCACTTACCTCTGAAGTCCAGGAGTGTAAGGGTCCCACAGGTACTGAGCTCACAGCAGTCTGCCTGCTCACGTTGGACAACACCCTCTGAGCTGTCACAGGCTGCTGAGGCAATGGGCCCTGAAAGTGTCGGGAGTACTTGGCCAGGGCCTGTGGGCGGAAAGGCTGCGGGGCCACCTGGCTCGAGAGGGCTGGTTCATGAGCCACAGGGTAAAGCACAGCTGGGTGAGGGTGTTGGGTCTTGGGCTTCACAAAGGGGGCCTGCAGGAAGACATCTGGATGCTTTTGTGTCACAACAGGGTGACGTGGGAACGGGGCATTTGCGAACACGTCACCTGCCTCTTCCTGTCCAACCCTGAAAGGGGCTTTCGAGAAGACATCAGCGACAACGTCAACCCCCCTGGCTTGCTGGGGCATCTGGTGGGAATGATTCTGGGATGGGGCACGTGGGCCTGGGGTAGGTTGGTGGGAGGGAGTGGAGAGTTGTGGGTGTGATAGGGATGGCTGGGAGGGTGGGAGGGGTAATTCAGACCCCTGCTCTTCCTCTTCATCTGAATCCAGCAGCAAAGGTCTGGAACCACTGCAGTCATGGACCACCTCATCACTCTCACTGGCCCTCCTGCCCTGCTCCTCCTCTCTCTTGTCTTCCTCCTCAAATTCCTCATCGCTGGAGTGGACACAGCCCTCATCTGCTCTGTGGCCTTCTCCAGGCAGCTCATTCTCTGACCTCCCCTTGTCTAGCACAGCGTAGCTTTTCCTTTCCCCTTTCAGCTCTGCAGAGGAGAGAAGACACAAAGTAAAGGATGAGACTTAAAGTGCAATTCTGCCACTTTTCAATCTCATTCATTATCTCCAGCACCATACCAGTGTCTACATATGTGAAAACGGCACATTTCTATGATCTGTGGTTAAAAAGACAAGGCCCTAAAAAATGCTTCTCTGTGACATCACAGGGTAGGAAAAACGGGTGATTTCCAAAACCTGTAACAAGTTTAGCCAGGAGGGTATTTTCTTGTTTCCCACGTCACCACGATTCTCATGTTTGAAAAACACTTTTTAAAATGTTTTAACTTTTGATGATGTCATCGGGTAGAACTTTTAAACTACATGTATTTTTTCTACAAAATATAGAAAAGCGCTGTTTCCACATATGTAGACAATAGTATTGTGCTGGAGATAATGAAAATTATGTTAAAGTGGTGGAGTTGCCCTTTAAGATGTGTACACTGAGACAAGATGACTAGTTAGTTTACATTGAGAACCCTCTCTCAGCTTTGAACTACTGTCTGTGGTCCTTTGGTCTAACAAAGCATCAATGTCACTCCCAAAGATGACACGTACAACAGCATACTGCAAACAAGTAAACACCATGGAAACAGCAACAACAGTACAATGGTCCAACAGCAGCAAGCCAGCACAGCACGACTCCAAAAACACAACATGATCTACTCTGTACAACACAATGAACACAAGACGACTATTCAGCGCTATCAATACAACACAAAATACCTTGTTTCCACTTGTTGTTTTTCAGGAGACCTGCAACATCCTCTAAGCAGATACACAACCCCTCATCAAAACAATTCCACGCACCACTACAAAGAGTAATACTGGTAGATTTAGGGTCGTTATTGGTAAGTTATATAAAGATATAGGGACTTGATAAGGATCAAATGGACCCGTGGAAACAAGGTGGAGTGAGAGGACTCACTGGAGTCCCAGCAGAGTGAGATTGACAGGAGTAGACAGACAGACAGAGGGGGGCAGAAACAGGGGCAGTCTTACCTTGGTAGTGCAGGTAGCAGGAGTTAGCCGGCAGCCCCAGGGGGAGAGGGTTAGTGGCAGCCATTTAGGACACAGTCCAGAGTCAGCCAGAGGACAAAGAGCTGGGCAGGTTGTGAGTAAGAGAAGAAGTGGAACTGTAGCTCTAAGATACTCAACCTTTCAGTGGATTGAAAGGCAAGAAGTTAGGTGTGTGAGCTCTACAGTACACTACAGTAAGCGAGAGGACTCAAACTCCAGGTAAGAGTGCAGTGTGTGTTAGTTGCTCAGCCTAGCACCAAGGCATGATAGGATGAGTGAGCACTTCCATACTGTACTGATATACTGACTTTTTGATAAGTCAAAAGGAGAAAAAAAAATTTTAAAAGGAGAAAAAATGATTTTTTAAACGCAGAGGCTTCTGAAAGCTTTTAATGCATTCATAAGCTGGCAAACTGACAGCAGATTGCATTTTCTGTCTGAAGTGTGAGCCTTGACATTGTTAGGGAAGTGAATTATGTGGGTGTGTGACTAAGCAACAGACTGATGTGTTATCCACCTATACTTGCTCTTCCAATTATCTCATAACACAACCATATATTGAACTACATTTCCTACTGATGATTTGAAAAATACACCAACGAGACTAGAGTTACATTCACGTTTATTTAATGTCCCTTTCTTTTTGAATATTTTTTTCTAATTTCATAAAAATAGAAGGTACACATTAGATAATAACTGTGATTTCACATATGGACAACTGCTGTTTGCTCAGTTCAACAGTTTTCATATAATCAAATAGATTATACTTGTCACTGTTTTGCCTCAGCAAACAGACTTAGGTACATCAGTTTCACAGCAACACAAGTAAAACTCTACTGGCAAGGCTAGACCTCTACTGATACAGCACTGTGGTGTCTAAGGATAATATGAGCACTACTGTAGAATTGCATAGGTTAGCCACACTAAAACCTGCAAAAGACTGAACTGTACATCAAGTAGATTGGAGAGGAAAATTAATAAAAACAAAACCCGAGCAGTTTTACTGATTCTCTCTCCATACAGGCCATACACACTTTAAAATCCACAGCCCAATTTCTAGAATTTACTGTACAATATATATGGTTTGGGGTAAAACTCATTTGTATTTTAAAGAAAAAAACTAAGAAATTATCTTTAACTTAAAGTATGCTATACTAGCAGTAACACCTCAATGGAAATGTATATTTTTGCTTTGAATATTTTCCAAGTATGGAAACAAGACTTTCTGAAATTGAATAAATGCATTTTGTGGAGTTGAAAGTTCTTATACGTGTTGCATTTCAGTTTAGTTTTTTAAATATTGTACCGTCTAATTTTCATATGCCTCAGGTAAATCAAGGGTGGGTACAATGTAGTACATTATATCCACTGATTATGCTTGCTGGGAGGATGATAAAGATGTGTCAAGAGTAAGACACATTTTGGTTCCGTTTCCAACAAATGAGACTCATTGCATTGTAACTTGTAAGTAGATAGGCTAGACTGTGTGATGCATTTAGGGGTTAACAGTAAAGGAGGAGGAAAGAACAGAGATATCAGGAAGACCCTTCCATCATAAGCCCTGTTTCCAGAGGAGGGAAGGGACTCTGTTGTTAAATAAACTACAACTCAGAGGAAGAAAATCAAACCAGAGAAAACTATGGGAAAACCAAGGATGAAGCTTGAAGATAATACTCCAATAAGGTAAGTCACAAGCACAGAGCTGTTCTCAGAACACCACCAAATTAAGATAGCTAAAACCATGGGGCTAGTGGCTTCCCTATGCTGAAATAGTCCCACAAGACCAAGAAGGATAGACAAAAATACTTTGGACAAAAATGAGGGACACAATATCTTTGCATTCTTAAATACAACCCCATAAAGAATACACAGAAATAAACTTTATTTTCATTTACCTATAATATGTACTTATGAATTGTATATATTTCATATTGATACTCACTTCATACATTCATTCTATAACACTATCAAGTCACATTTATTCATACCATGATATGACATGTCTTTAAATATGAAACACTTTAAAATGTATACTGAACAAAAATATAAACGCAACATGTAAAGTGTTGGTCCCATGTTTCATGAGCTAAAATAAAATGTCCCAGAATTTTTCAATGTGCAAAAACATTTCTCCTTTGCCAAGATAATCCATCCACCTGACAGGTGTGGCATATCAAGAAGCTCTTCACCTGCGGAGTATTTATGTCTGTAATAAAGCCCTTTAGTGGGGAAAACTCATTCTGATTGGCTGGGCCTGACTCCCCAGTGGGTGGGCCTATGCCCTCCCAAGCCCACCTGTGGCTGCACCCCTACCAAGTCATGTGAAATCCATAGATTAGGGCCTAATGAATTTATTTCAATTGACTGATTTCCTTATATGAACTGTAACTCAGTAAAATTGTTGAAATTGTTGCGTTTATATTTTTGTTCAGTATACTTTAACTACTTCTTTACAAGGGGAGAATGAGGACATTGAAATAGTGGTTTTATATACATGAGTTGGTAGGGACTAGGGAATGGATATTTTTCCAGATCATTACACTATATAGGGCAAGCAACATCACGGTGTATATATGTGTGTGTGGTATGGATGAGTAGATTGGACAGAAGGGAGATGGATATGAATGATGAGGATGAAATGTGCAACAGAGACACATGGAACAAAAAGAGAAACTGTGATTGGCTGTAGGACCACACCAGCACAACACAAGCAGACAAAACCCAAGCTCAGCTGCAACTACTTCTCACTCTGCTGGCTCACTGGTAAAGATCAGCTGACCCTCACCAAACAACCACAATGAGATACGCGACCATTGCACTGTTCAGCTGTATCCATGCTCAATATGGGACTAATTTCTCTCTCACATTCTCGGAAATGTAGATCTGCTAACCAATGGGCCGAGGACAGAAACCCAAATGAAACAGAATAGCGACGATAAAGCTCTTATTGGAATACACATGATCAATAGCCGGTTAGCATGCATTCTGCCCAATAGCCGGTTAGCATGCATTCTGCCCAATAGCCGGTTAGCATGCATTCTGCCCAATAGCCGGTTAGCATGCATTCTGCCCAATAGCCGGTTAGCATGCATTCTGCCCAATAGCCGGTTAGCATGCATTCTGCCCAATAGCCGGTTAGCATGCATTCTGCCCAATAGCCGGTTAGCATGCATTCTGCCCAATAGCCGGTTAGCATGCATTCTGCCCAATAGCCGGTTAGCATGCATTCTGCCCAATAGCCGGTTAGCATGCATTCTGCCCAATAGCCGGTTAGCATGCATTCTGCCCAATAGCCGGTTAGCATGCATTCTGCCCAATAGCCGGTTAGCATGCATTCTGCCCAATAGCCGGTTAGCATGCATTCTGCCCAATAGCCGGTTAGCATGCATTCTGCCCAATAGCCGGTTAGCATGCATTCTGCCCAATAGCCGGTTAGCATGCATTCTGCCCAATAGCCGGTTAGCATGCATTCTGCCCAAGAGAGAAAGTTGTTGAGCACCCGTCTTAATGTATGACCAAGAAGACAAGGGCATTCAAATGAATTACACACATTTAGAATAATACCGCTAATGCGTCAACCTTTCCAGATCATTCTTATACTTAGAGGTATAGTAAGAGGCAAAATGCACCAGCTCAATATGATCTTAAACTATAGGAAATGCACAGGACTGGAACAATAATCCCAGGGAATGTTCAGATAAACAGATTGTAGCTCTTACATAAAGCACAGCCAATATAAACATGGTTGTACAGTCAAGGAGATGGTTGTTGTAGAAGACCTGACTATCTGAGCCAGTTTGGGGGTACAGTAGCTAGCCACAGCCTGTAGATAGAGACGATATGTCTACCATAACGGTGCATGTTGCACAAGTGCTTTTGAGCTCACAATGACACATAGACATCTTCGAACATTTGCAACAGACAGCCAAACATTCCCAAGGGGCAGCGGTGAACCACAGCAGTTTGAGAAAAGTTAAAAACACAGCAGGAGCCTAAGGACTGACAGCTCATTGGTCTCCTCTGTATGCCCCATGCAAGCAGCTCGGGATAGTTCAGTCAGCTTCTGCTTTTCTAAATGCCTGCTTTGCTGTAATGACTAGACATGGTCATAGCTGCTACAGGAAGAGTGCATACAGATAGCAGTACAGTACTTCTCTCTCTCCTGGCTATGTTACGTGGTCAGACCTAGGACACATACATTTGTATAAAGGAAGCTTAAACCCTGATCAAACATAGCAAAGCCAATGGAGTTATGGGCAAGCCAGGCAGTATGTGCATAGGGTGGGGCTGAATCCGCATGGCAGGACAATGAGGAATGTTGACAGATGGATGACAGCATGATAAAGACCATAGTGCAGCCAAGACAGAAGCAGACAATCTGTCAGGACGGGGAGTTAATGCAATGTTGTTACCAACATGGGAATGCCAACGGCCAGAATTAATGGTTTGAAACTAGCGTATCAGGAAAGCAAGAGATGGAGGCGGGGGCAAGGAGGCACACCAGAGAAAGTGTTTACTAGTCCACACTAAAGCTCCTCCATTTCACCTTGCAAGGTGCTACATAAGTGCCTCTGCTGCCCCCTCTCCATCCCCTACATGTTACGATTGCACGCTGCCCCTTCGACCTCTCTCCCCCACCCCCCTATAGGTCGATGAGCTGATCCACCAGCAGAAGGGAGCGGGCCAAGTTGGGGATGCTGGACTCTGAACTGCCACTGTTGCTGCGCGAGTGACCACCTGAAACGTGCCAGAAAAAGAGAGAGAGAGAGAGAGAGAGAGAGAAGAGGACATGGACGGAGCAAGGAAGAGCGAAGAGGGGGAAAGGAAAGTATTTGAGAGAGCATAGAAGAGAGACAGGACAGATCATGGCAAAGCATTGAGAATTGGTGAAAGAGAAGAGGACAGGAGCGAGGGTGGGATGACAGGAGCAGACACGAGTGAATGAGGGACAGGGGTAGGAAGAGAACAAAAGAGACAGAAAGTAAGCGAGATTATCTATATGCAGGCGCAGCATTTCAGGGATAGAGTGCAGGGAGGAGGACATCTTGTATGTCTTCCTAACCTCTAGAAGACACTACTCTTAAAAGATGCCTTCAAGCTCTGCTGTTGGCGCTTCTGTTCTGACAGACTGTACAAAACAACTGCAGAATGGTGCCTGCCTTTGATAGGAACTGCCAATTCTTATTGACAACGTTCAGCCAGTGAAAAGTCAATGAGCGAAAGTTTAGAGAAACCCACTGATGTGAAAGCATGCTAGGATGAGAAGGGCTAGCTAATGTTACAGCACATCCAGCCATGGTTGCTCTCAGCAGGTGTAAGTGATGAACTAGGGTGTTAGCTAGGGTTTCTCAGTAATGGGTGTGCTCATTCGTGGTCCCCTGGCAGCTCATACAGAACAGTACTTTGGTCCTCAGCAGATCTGTGTGGATCAATGAGACACGTGGATTCAACCCTATCTGCACACTGCTGGCCTGCCTTACGTACCTTGGTTGTTGGAGTTTTTGGAGATGAGCACGGGGATGGGGTCAAATTCGTCCTCAGTGCCCTTCTCCCCAGCCTCGGGCGGCTGGAAGCCCAACATGAGGTAAGCAGAGTCTGCAGGTGGAGGAGAGGAGGTGAAGGGGTAATGGAGGGTGAGGTTAGCGCAGCCCAGAAGAGAGCGAGGAGGGAGGAGGGGAGGGTGCAGGAAGTACAGAGACAGATGCAGCCAGAGCAGTCACAGCATTAGTACTAAGCCATGCATCTGATGTGGCTTTTGTAAATGAGTCAAGGGTCTGCAGAAGGTCCCACAATGTTGTGGCAGCAGCATAGTGCTACAAATGGTTACCTCACCGTTTGAACTGCAATGAAAGGGCCCTTGATACAGGCTGCCAACATGTCTGTATCAATATCTCATTACCCTTCTGAAATGATATAGTTCATGTTGATATTAGTAATATGATAGTTAACTGGGTAGTTTAACATCATCAATTCAAAGGTCGCTTGGCTTTGAACATGTATATTTTAGTAGTCTGACTGGTCTTTAAAGCTGAGAGATACTGCCGGTCTGTGGTACTGTGATTTAGTTTGGGCTGAACACAGGTCAGACTTGCTGTGAGGCGTTTCACCCCAGGTAACATACAATATATGACAGCTGGAGAGAGGAGGTCTTACCAGCAGATGCCTGGGCAGTGCCAAATGAGACTGGAGCTAGTTTGTCCAGACAGGAAGCAGAGCCAGGAGGGGCAGAGGAGCAGGAGGGGGGTGCACAGACAGTTTGATCCCCAGGGGTGGAGGTGTGAGACAGCAAAGAGCAGCCCAGCAGAGAGTCCTCTCCAGCCAGAGGGTCTGAGGGAGGGGAGGGGAGGCCAGGGGTTAATATGGAGGGAAAGAAAATGAAAGACCATTAACCCAAGCAGAAGAAAAAGCAGTAGGTTAGTAAGCATGCTCACCCTTTTCCCACAGAAAAAAGATTAGACCAAAAGTGAATGAGCTTCTTACTCTCAGATTTACGTTCATCCTCAAAGTAGATATCCCCTGATCAAACCCCACACTAGTAGTGGTACTTTGCTGCATGTAGGAGTTGGACTAATGACAGGACCATTGTCCATTGGTGCCCTCTAGTGGCACAGATTGACACTACTACCAAAAGGTGGGAGCGGAGGGAAAAACTGCCTACTGCGCGATATTGAGAGGTCAAAGCCAGGGGCAGCAGACACGCTCTATCGCTCAGCAGTAGCGGCCTTGTCCTCAGATCCAGCCTACATTCACTGGGGAATGTCAGCCATTACACTAACATTCACACTGTGCTCATGTTCATCTGGAGCAGAATCAGCAATGCTAATGAACAGTGCACTGCAAATGTTTTCCTGTTCGCCCTCAAGAGTACGTCATAGCAACGGATCATTGCAATAAACCGCAACCGTTCCAGACAGTTTAGTTGACAGCATTGAAGAAATGGTGACAGGGAATATTAATTTGGTACAGGCAAACCTTTCAGCAAGCCCTGGCAGGGTATGTTTGCGCAGGTTACTGATAAATGACTTGGTCTTTTCAACACCAAGCAATAGTTAACACAAAGGAAACCACAACAGAGCTTCTGAACTAAGAGTCATATCCCTGTATGACGTTGATGGCAGAAAAAACACATTCAATCTTAGTGGAGGCAAATCCCCCTTTGTGTTAACCCAATAACTCATTGCCTTGTGGCCCCACACAGAGCATACGTCATAGCGATGTACGGCAATAATGTAATAACATTGCCTATATTATTTAAGGAATGGTAAGAACAGTAAGGTACAGTTTAGGACACTAACCTGGCAGGCTGGCTGAGACTGTCTCCAGGCCCGGTATCAGAGAGTCCACACACATCTCAGCCTTTGCTGCTGATGAAAGAGGAACAGGAGAGATGGTCAGATAAGAAAATGAATGAAAAGGAGAGAGGAAACCAAAGAGCTCCAGCTCCAGAGAATAAAGTATATGACGGACTTCAGTTCATAAACAACCTGAAGCATCTCTCATGTGAGAGAGGATACAGGAAGAGGAGAGGAAGGCATGCAGGCAGGCAGGCAGGCAGACAGACAGGCAGATAGGCAGACAGGAGAGCCTGTTACCATTACTGTTGCCCTCTGCAGAGCTGCTGAAGGGGTCAGCCAGGGGTAAAAGGTCAGGGAGCAGCAGAGATGTCTCAGGGGACTTCAGTCCCTCAATCAGCTTCTCTGTGAGCCATCCAGACAGAGGGACGAGAGGAGAGGACAAGGAGGAACGGGAGGGAGGAAAGCATCGAAAGAGAGAGGAAAGAAAGAGAATGTGCATAAGAAAAGTATGAGTAGGGGGAGAAAATGTGAGATGATGTAGTAGGACTGAGGCAAAGGGAAGAAATGTACGCTAGGCTCATCTAAGTACAAATGAGAACATGATAATTATACTATCAAGGTGAGAATTAGTTGGTAACGTTATCAAGGTGTAGCAGCTGTTAGTTCTTGGATTTGTGAAGATATTTTTCTATTGGCTGGGTATTCTGCCATGAGGAATGCTATGAAGACACCAGTCTCTCCTTTACTCTTCAGCAGAAAATCCCTCCTAGTGTGATGACGGAGTGCACAGACCATGCTTGAGTAGAGGACATGTTTATTTCAGGCAGGTAATACCATTCATGTCAAACAAGTAGTGGAGAAAAACAGCATGCCTTCAAAAAGAACTGCTAGCCTTAAACCACCAACACATCATTCCATCCCATCAACCAATGACATGGAGACGAATACAAACACACAGCAGCTAGTGTCAGTATTTCATCTTTATAGGGTCATTAGTTGACGGACTAAAGAGCAAAATGTCAGCCTCACTCAACAAAAATATACCAGGGGTTAGCTACCATAGCACCAGTCCACAGACTAGGCCTACATCACTGACTGTTCTTACATGTCTCTTCTCCACTTTCATCACTGAACAAGTGTTGGATCAGCCAGCACTGCTAGACACCTGACTGACAGTATCCTTGTTAAGTAAGCTTTGCTGGGTGTTCCAGGGCCGTGCCACAGACAAAGCAGGAGGACTGCCTTCAGGATGTGCCTCTCCAGCAGGTTAGTGCATCCAAACAGACTGAGTACAAACCAGTTGCATGCATGTGAGTGAGTATCTTCTGGGTCAAAATCTCATCTCCATACATACTTACAGGTGACTGGCTGCTATGGAGAGACAGGGGGACAGAGGACCTGGGCCTGGGGGCTCAGAATATGACACAGCACAGCTGCCCATTTGCCCCCTTCACTAAGGGAGAGAGGTCGCAGGTCAATGATAAACTGCTATGACAAAGTCTGTGTACTCCAGAGTCTTATTTATACTGAACAAAAATATAAAACGCATGCAAAGTGTTGGTCACAGGTTTCATGAGCGGAAATAAAAATATCCCAGAAATGTTCCATACGCACAAAAAGCTTATTTTGCTCAAAGTTTGTGCACAAATTTGTTTACATCCCTGTTAGTGAGCATTTTTCCTTTGCGAAGATAATCCATCCACCTGATAGGGTGGCATATCAAGAAGCTGATTAAACATGATCATTACACAGGTGCACCTTGTGCTAGGGACAATAAAAGGCCACTCTAAAATGTACAGTTGTGTCACATAACACAATGCCACAACTGACTGCAGGAATGTCCACCATAGCTGTTGCATGTTCATTTTTCTACCATAAGCCGCCTCCAGTGTTGTTTTAGGGAAATTGGCAGTACGTCCAATCGGCCTCACAACCACAGACCATGTGTAACCACGCCAGCCCAGGACCTCCACATCCAGCTTCTTCACCTGCGGGATCGTCTGAGACCAGCCACCCGGATAGCTGATGAAACTGTGGGTTTGCACAACTGAAGAATTTCTGCACAAACTGTCAGAAACCGTCTCAGGGAAGCTAATCTGAGTGCTCGTCGTTCTCACCAGGGTTTTGACCTGACTGCAGATCGGCGTCGTAACCAACTTCAGTGGGCAAATGCTCACCTTCGATGGCCACTGGCATGGTGGAGAAGTGTGCTCTTCACGGATGACTCCCGGTTTACGACTGTACCGGGCAGATGGCATCGGTTTGCGGACGTAAACTTTGTAAACAGAGTGCCCCATGGTGGCGGTAGGGTGACGGTATGGGCAGGCATAAGCTACGGACAACGAACACAATTGCATTTTATCGATGCCAATTTGAATGCACAGAGATACTGTGCCATTCATCTGCCGCCATCACCTCATGTTTCAGCATGATAATGCACGGCCCCATGTCACAAGGATCTATAAATACAATTCCTGGAAGCTGAAAATGTCCAAGTTCTTCCATGGCCTGCATACTCACTAGACATGTCACCCATTGAGCACGTTTGGGATGCTCTGGATCGATTTGCACGACAGCATGTTCCAGGAATAGCCAATATCCAGGAACTTCGCACAGCCATTGAAAAGGAGTGGGACAACATTCCACTGGCCACAATCAACAGCCTGATCAACTCTATGCAAAGGAGATGAGTCACGCTGCATGAGGCAAATGGGGTGCAGTTCCTGTTATGGGCTCTACTGGTGCTGTGTGCCAGTAAATCCTCAGTGCTCTCACTCTCTTTGTGACCTGTGTTTAAAGACTGAGTGAGTTGGGAGAGGACAGAGAAGATTAACCACACCCAGATTATGTAACAGGCAGCCTTTTTCCCCTCAGCTCAGTCCCCACTAACTGACAACACTGGCATCCACTGACTGTCATTGGAGCGATTATCTGAACCTTACAGTGAATACAGCCTAGTCTGTGTTAAGATAAACTGAGGACAGAGTATTGCTCCTGAGCCATTTGGAAAAGCAATCAACTACCAACTAAAGGAAGAGCTCAGATGTGACGCTGAACTTTCCCACTGTTCTCAGTGACAGAGGCATTCTAAAGCAGGCGCCTCCAGAGGAACAGCAATCCGATTAACAAAGGAGAATGTGTCCTTCAGGTAACCAGGCAACAGTACAGACAGAGGCACGGTCCACAAGTGTGAGGCAATCCAGCTAAGGTCTCTATTCATAGGAGCTGAAAGGGAATCAATTATGCTAAGAGGACAGGGACAATAGGACTACAGAGCAAAGCCATGTCACCCCAGTCATGATCTAAACAATGGCTTTAAACATTAGATATAGGCCACATACAATCCACCAACATGAGTGTCTCAGGAACATCTATGCGCAAGAATTGAAACACATTGGATGGATGCTTGATGGTAAAGTAGGGATCCTGGCAGGACAGAGAAGTGGAACCTGCCAATACATTCCACAACAACGTTGCATGCTGGGAAAGGGCGTTACCTGTGGTGTCAGAGAGGGAGAGGGCGTTAAAGGGGTCCGGGACACTCAAAATCGCTGAGCCTGCATCCAAACCCAGGATGTCAGCACCTCTCTCAGCTTAACATCACACATGGAGAAAGAAAGCGGGAGAAGGAGAGAAAGAATGAGAGACAGCAGGAGAATAGGGGAGGAAGGATGTTGGAGAAGATGGTATGGTTGGTTATGACAGTTACTGATCTAATAGAAAGTCAACAAGATGTAAGAGGACAACAGAGCTGAGGAGAACAAATTACACAACAGTAATTGGCTTGGGTTGGGCTCAGAGAAAATTGTCTCAGAGAAAGGTGCGAGAGGTTCACTTGACAGCTCAAACCGATACATCTCTCAAAGAAAGAATTCTACAGAGCAGGAGAAAAATCGATCTTCGAAAGAAAGATTTACAGAGAAGAAGCCGACAGCTAAAAACAACAGGACACCACATGGGAAATATGTAGAGATGAGGGAGAGGAATAATAACGTCTGTATGACACAGAGAGGAAGGCTGGTGAACACGTGGGGTCTTACCCGGGAAAGCCTTGCCTGTGGACCCAGCAGCAGAGACAGGCTGCAGCCCTGAAATTAGGTTCTCTGTAGAGAGGCTGGCCCTCTCCCCTGTTGTAGCTGTCATAAAGACATACACAATTAGAAAACAACATCACCTCTGTTCATTTACCTATCTACCAACTATCCATTGCACTTGTAGATGTCTATACACAGACTGGACATTGTGGTCTTACTCTCGGCCAGCTTGGCAAAGTCCTTGTTGAGCAGCTCCTCGGCACTGAGCTTGGAGAAGTTGTCGTCACCAAAAGGGTTCCAGCTGCCAGTGGGTGCAGAGGGGGCTGTCTGGGCACCGCCCTGCCCTGGCTGGTACACACTCTGCTGGGAGGAGCAGGGGGAGCCAGAGGGGGTGGTGCTGGCTGACCTACAACACACATAGGAAAACAAAGGTTACAGTGGAAATCATCCATCTCATTTATCTTAAGTACAAACAAGTCTGTGCCAAATATAAAACATGCATGCAAATATGGGTAATTAAAAATCCTATTGAGTTATTTGTAGATTGAATGGACTGTTTATTCCTGTGTTGAACTATATGGGCTATTAAGGTTCTCTGTATGAATGGCCTGTTCATTGGCCTGCATCTCACTCAGTCAGTCAGTCAGTCAGTCAGTCAGTCAGTCAGTCAGTCAGTGTGTGGAATGAATGGACAGTTGATTCCTCAGTTCATTGAGATGGGTTAATTCAGCTCACTTGGACTTGTTGAGGCTGGCCTCGGCTGCAGCCGCCTGCAGTAGCTGGGTTGACTTGCTGATTGGGACCCCAAACACAGCACTGTGGGTGACGTCGCTCAGGATGCGTCTGTGACTGCCTCGGGGGGCCATCTTTGGGGAGGAGGGGGGCGTCAGGGAGCCAACCTTGTGGAGCCCACGTCCAGGAGCCAGATGCTGGGAGGAGAGAGCGAGAGAAAGGGTTTAATATGGAGATAAGGAAAATATCACACCGAATATCAGAAGGAAGAAAATGACAGGTTGATCCAAGTTGATTAGCTATTCTATTGGTTGGTGAAAAGACATGGTTGATTAGTGGCAAAATACCAATGGATGGTTTTCAGGATGATCCGTTATTGATTCATATTTTTGACAGAGATTAGATTTAGAACAATAAATCACAAAGGAGACAGAACTGAGTGGTGACAGGTTCCAGTGACAGAGATGTTTCATGACAACTTTAGACATTATAACCATAGTGAAAGGAAAAGCCACTAGACAGCTTCTAAATCTTATCCTTTTGGTTGAATTATATTTGATCACTATGCAAAGTATGAAAGATCTGTCTTCGATGTTAGTGAGAAGCACTGATGTATCCTTTTTAGACTGCTTAATTCAGTCCTCACAACAGTATACAGGACCAATCCAAGAGCAAGTATTTCTACATCATTGTTTACATAGATCAATAAAACATGCAGTTATTTTAAAGGGAACTAATCCAATGCAAATGCAGAATGCATACAAAGTCAGTGTTAGGTGATTAGCCAGATTCTAAGGCCCCAGACAGAGAGCCAGGGCCTGTTAGTCCCCCTGTCCCACAAGGCAGCAGGCTGCCAGAGGAGATGGGCCTGTTAGCCCTCCCTGTCCCACAGACCAGCAGGTTGCCGGAGGGAAGGGGGTTTACCGTGGGCTCAGAGTCACAGTCAAGTGCAGGTCCTGTGGCTTTAGGTCCTGGGGCTGCAGGCTGAGGGGGGGCTGGTGGTTGGGGGGAGGGGAGGTCTGCCGCAGGGCTGGCTGGCTGCTGCTGCAGAGGAGCAACAGGAGCCACAGGATTCGTTTTGGGCTGCACAGCCACAGAGCCCTGGGGGGTCGGGATGGGAGGCTGCTGCTGTTGTTTGTAGATGGTCTGCACCAGCTGATGCTGCTTAGGGATAGGATGGTGGGAGAAACACAACCAGTGTTCAGGAAAACCCCTCCCTACTGTCTAATTTGGCCCAGTTTGGGATGAGTTATTGCTCTGCCAAGTGCAAACCAGTTCACCCTTCTGTTCCCTGTGTATTTCATGAAAGTTGTCATTTCTGCAGTTGGATTTTTGTTACACATGACATCTTAGTGTATTTTAATTAACAGATCAGAGGGGAGTTCCTGGAAAGTCAATCAAGTTATTCAGTTTGATTCAATTTCATTCAAAACCACAAGGTTATTCAGAGGTCCTGCTAAAAGTGCACTCTACATAGAAATATCATAAGTTAGAAGGCAATAAATGGATGCATAAAAAACAATGACTTCATATTATTGGCAAATGGCAACAAGATTCTCTGATATATTAAGAAGCCCAAACACAAGGTAATATATAGTGCCTTTAGCAGACTGATAAGAGATATGCCCACCTGGTTGGTCTTCTGCTGTGGGCTGAAGAAGGCTGCAGCCTGCTGCTTCATGAAGAGACCCTGCTGATGCTGGGGCGTGGCCATGGGCTGCGAAGGGGCGGTCTGAGCCAGTGGGGATGTGGCCTGTGCAGCAGGCACCTGCTGGACTAATTGAACAGCAACAGCCGGCTGGGCAGCGCCTAAAACACCTGTAGTACAGGGGAAAAGATGGCTGTCTTGGAAGGATGACATTGATAACAATTGACTAAAACAGACAAGCTTGCAGCTCCTATCGGTCTCTATACAAGCAGATGGACAGAAGGGCTCAGATAGACTATGGGTGTCACCAAGGGCTCATTAATAGACTATTAAAGCCTTGTCCGGACGGACAAATTAAACCACTGGGATTACAAGGCCATGTTATGTCAGCCAAACACGTGGAACAGTTCAATACATCAAGCTCAATACAGGATGTCTATCTCGGTGAGTGTTTTGTGACAGGATTAGAGACTTTCCCTGCTTGCAGGCCTCAGCTCTCTGCTCACCACATTATCAGGTCCTTGTGGTTCAAGCTTTGACTGAGAAACAAAGAAGGCACAGAGGGTAGTGTGTGCGTACCTCCTGCAGCCACGCTGGGTCTCTTGCGTGGGGTGAGGGCCGGCTGGATGGGCAGGATGCCTATGGGCTGGGCCCCTCCAGCTTTGGGTCGTGACCGGGGCGCGATGGACGTCTCTGTTGTGGGGACAGGGTCTGAGAGCCTGGGAGGGGAGCGGAAGGGCAAGACAGGTTATCATTGCCGGAGCTTTACATCTGTAACTATAATTTAAAAAAGGGATTCTCATGCTCCTCACTTACCTGGCTTTGGATTGACTCTTTTTGGCCACAGCTTCGCTGGCTCTGATTGGTTCAGGAAGTTTTGTAGGAATAGGATAGTTCTGTGAAGGTGAGAAGAGTTTCAGTACTATGCTTAGATATACTACTCAATTTAAATCAATCAGCTTCACTCAGATTTCTAGTGTAATGGTTTTCCTTTTGTCACAGCGAGGGAACAAGAACCCTTTATCATTATAACTTCTGCATGACATGACTGCAGCAATGTCATGATCAGTTAAAGATTCCATGAATCGGCCTTGAATGTCCACTGGGAATGTGGTCTGAAATGTGCTGTGTCAGATGATTGAGTGCTGACATTGCTCTATCAATGCAAAGCAAAGGGGCCTGGGGGATGGTGGGCAGCCAACTGGCAACAACCACAAAGCCGCTTGCTCCCCCATCCTCTGGCATTTTGCAATAGACTTATGTTGCTTTCCAAAAAGATTAGACATGAATACAACATCTTAGTAAAATGTGAAAGCTTCTTACATTTTAAATAAAATAACATTAAGTACAGTGCCTTACATACAGTGAGGGAAAAAAGTATTTGATCCCCTGCTGATTTTGTACGTTTGCCCACTGACAAAGAAATGATCAGTCTATAATTTTAATGGTAGGTTTATTTGAACAGTGAGAGACAGAATAACAACAAAAAAATCCAGAAAAACGCATGTCAAAAATGTTATAAATTGATTTGCATTTTAATGAGGGAAATAAGTATTTGACCCCTCTGCAAAACATGACTTAGTACTTGGTGGCAAAACCCTTGTTGGCAATCACAGAGGTCAGATGTTTCTTGTAGTTGGCCACCAGGTTTGCTCACATCTCAGGAGGGATTTTGTCCCACTCCTCTTTGCAGATCTTCTCCAAGTCATTAAGGTTTCGAGGCTGATGTTTGTCAACTCGAACCTTCAGCTCCCTCCACAGATTTTCTATGTGATTAAGGTCTGGAGACTGGCTAGGCCACTCCGGGACCTTAATGTGCTTCTTCTTGAGCCACTCCTTTGTTGCCTTGGCCGTGTGTTTTGGGTCATTGTCATGCTGGAATACCCATTCACAACCCATTTTCAATGCCCTGGCTGAGGGAAGGAGGTTCTCACCCAAGATTTGACGGTACATGGCCCCGTCCATCGTCCCTTTGATGCGGTGAAGTTGTCATGTCCCCTTAGCAGATAAACACCCCCAAAGCATAATGTTTCCACCTCCATGTTTGACGGTGGGGATGGTGTTCTTGGGGTCATAGGCAGCATTCCTCCTCCTCCAAACACGGCGAGTTGAGTTGATGCCAAAGAGCTCAATTTTGGTCTCATCTGACCACAACACTTTCACCCAGTTCTCCTCTGAATCATTCAGATGTTCATTGGCAAACCTCAGACGGCCCTGTATATGCGATTTCTTGAGCAGGGGGACCTTGCGGGCGCTGCAGGATTTCAGTCCTTCACGGCATAGTGTGTTACCAATTGTTTTCTTGGTGACTATGGTCCCAGCTTCCTTGAGATCATTGACAAGATCCTCCCGTGTAGTTCTGGGCTGATTCCTCACCGTTCTCATGATCATTGCAACTCCACGAGGTGAGATCTTGCATGGAGCCCCAGGCCGAGGGAGATTGACAGTTCTTTTGTGTTTCTTCCATTTGCGAATAATCGCACCAACTGTTGTCACCTTCTCACCAAGCTGCTTGGCGATGGTCTTGTAGCCCATTCCAGCCTTGTGTAGGTCTACAATCTTGTCCCGGACATCCTTGGAGAGCTCTTTGGTCTTGGCCATGGTGGAGAGTTTGGAATCTGATTGATTGATTGCTTCTGTGGACAGGTGTCTTTTATACAGGTAACAAGCTGAGATTAGGAGCACACGGGAGTGCTCCTAATCTCAGCTTGTTACCTGTATAAAAGACACCTGGGAGCCAGAAATCTTTTCTGATTGAGAGGGGGTCAAATACTTATTTCCCTCATTAAAATGCAAATCAATTTATAACATTTTTGATATGCGTTTTTCTGGATTTTTTTGTTGTTATTCTGTCTCTCACTGTTCAAATAAACCTACCATTAAAATTATAGACTGATCATTTCTTTGTCAGTGGGCAAACGTACAAAATCAGCAGGGGATCAAATACTTTTTTCCCTCACTGTATCATCTCTTACTTTCAATGATTGACTTACACCTGGCATTTGGAGAGCAAGGTAACAATTCAGATAAAGTTAAAAGTTCCTCTACATTATGACCCTTTGAATTATTTGGTTGTAACCTTCGTCTCCGGGGAGATTTTCTAGTCCTGTTGTCATTACTGATGATGAGGTGACTTACATGTATGTTCTGGATGGGGCATTCGATACGGGCCAGCTTGAAGGCGAAGTAGGACACTTGATAGATATCTGGTCTCTTTTCAGGGTCAGGCTCCAGCATGTATCCTGATGAATGGAAGAAAATATGGTTGGTAATTATCATACTGATACAGTGCATTCTGAAAGTTCAGACCATTTGACTTTTTCCACATTTTGTTACGTTACAGCCTTATTCTAAAATGGATTTCTTCCCCCTCAATCTAAACACAGTACCCCATAATGACAAAGCGAACAGTTTAGAAAATGTTGCACATTTATAAAGTATTCAGACCCTTTGCTTTGAGACTCGAAATTGAGCTCATGTGCATCCTGTTTACATTTAGTCCACATTTGGTAAATTCAATTGATTGGACATGATTTGGAAAGGCACACACCAGTCTATATAAAAGTCCCACAGTTGACAGTGCACGTCAAAGCAAAAACCAAGCCATGAGGTTGAAGGAACTGTCCGTAGAGGCACAGATCTGTGGAAGGGTACAAAAACATTTCTGCAGCATTGAAGGTCCAAGAACACAGTGGCCTCCATCATTCTTTAATGGAAGAAGTTTGGAACCGCCAAGACTCTTCCTAGACCTGGCCGCTGGCCAAACTGAGCAATCGGGGGAGAAGGAGGTTCTTGGTCAGGGAGGTGACCAAGAACCCGATGGTCACTGACAGAGCTCCACAGTTCCTATATGGAGATGGGAGAATCTTCCAGAAGGACAACCATCTCTGCAGCACTCCACCAATCATGCCTTTATGGTAGTGGCCAGACGGAAGCCACTCCTCAGTAAAAGACACATTACAGCCCGCTTAAAGTTTGCCAAAAGGCACCTAAAGGACTCTCAGACCATGAGAAACAAGATTCTCTGGTCTGATGATACCAAGATTGAACTCTTTGGCCTGAATGCCAAGCGTCACGTCTGGAGGAAACCTGGCACCATCCCTACGGTGAAGCATGGTGGTGGCAGCATCATGCTGTGGGGATGTTTTTCAGCGGCAGGGACTGGGAGACTAGTCAGGATCGAGTGAAAGATGAACGGAGCAAAGTATAGAGAGATCCTTGATGAAACCCTGCTCCAGAGCACTCAGGACCTCAGATTGGGGCGAAGGTTCACCTTCCAACAGGACAACAACCCTAAGCACACAGCCAAGACAATGCAGGAGTGGCTTCGGGTCAAGTCTCTGAATGTCCTTGAGTGGCCCAGCCAGAGCCCGGACTTGAACCCAATCAAACATCTCTGGAGAGACCTGGAAATAGCTGTGCAGCGACGCTCCCCATCCAACCTGACAGAGCTTGAGAGGATCTGCAGAGAAGAATGGGAGAAACTCCCCACATACAGGTGTGTCAAGCTTGTAGCATCATACCCAAGAAGACTCAAGGCTGTAATCGCTGCCAAAGGTGCTTCAACAAAGTACTGAGTAAAGGGTCTGAATACTTACGTAAATGTGATATTTCAGTTTCCTATTTTGAATAGATTTGCTTTGTCATTATGGGGTATTGTGTGTAGATTGATGAGGGGGGAAAAACTATTTAATCCATTATAGAATAAGGCTGTAACGTAATAAAATGTGGAAAAATCCAAGGGGTTTGAATACTTTCCGAATGCACTGTATATTTATCTCTTTGGACTAAAGGACTTGCACTGTGAAAGAGAGAAGGGGCACAGAGAGAAAGACAGAGCCAGAAAGACAACTCTCTTACATACGAACGCACAGACCATTCAGTAGGAGTTGACAGGGAGGATGGCTACTCACTGATGAGGCAGTGCATGTCCTGGGAGTAGCGGGAGTTGTCTGGAATAGTGAAGCTGCCATCACAGATGGCCACCTGGCTCTCCCCAAACGGCAGGGTGAAGTAGCACAGTTTATACAGCAGGCAGCCCATAGCCTGTAGAGACAGCACAGTGCACATCAGGACACCTTTTATTACCTGGCATCAAGCCAACATAACTCTATAGTGGAGAGAAACCAGTCATAATCTCTCATGGCGATTCAGCAGTATGCCAACTCACCCAGATGTCTGCCTTTGTAGTGATGACCATGCCATTGTAAAGGTTGATCATCTCTGGGGCTCGGTATGACAGAGTAGTGTACCTTAAGGTGGGGAAGCAAGGGAGCACACTAATTTAGGAAGGACTTCAATTGCAGATAAATGTCCTCAATAGGGTTCACTTGGCACAGTTAATCCACAACATCCCAACCGGTTGTACTTGTTGGTTCACTAGACTAAAACTATCAAACCACTCCCATGAGTTCAGTATTCCAGTTGAGGTGAAGCTCTTCAGAATCACTCACTTCTTGATTTCCTCTTCCACCAGTGGCACGCCCTCTGTCTGAGGGTCCTGGAAGCGGTTGGTGGCGCTGCCAAAGTCACACAGCACGTAGTGTCCCCGGTCATGGAGTAGGATATTCTCCACCTGCAGAGGAGATAGAGACACAAAGATGACTGCTGAGACAGGTGACTCCTGAGACAGGTGACTCCTGAGTTGATCTTTGAATGGTGTGTAACATATTTATACACTTCATGGTTCACTTCTCATGCTGGGACACATATATGCAGCTAGGACATTTATTAAAGACAAACAGATAAAGAAGACATGATAAAGGCAAGTGTGAGTAGGGTGCAGACTCTGAGGGTGTGTGTGAAGTGCTCGTGCCTTGAGATCTCGATGGATGATTGGCGTCTTGCACTGGTGGAGGCGGGCCACGGCCTCGCAGGTGTCACAGAAGATCTGCAGCACCTCTGCCTCAGTGAAGCCTGTCTGCAGACGCTGGTTCATCAGGTTCACCACCTGACCACCTGCAACAAACCAGGGAGGACTTACAATGGGTTTGGAAACAAAGTAGATACGCTCCTGTCATGGTATGAGGTTTGTACACTAATGAAACCACTAAAGTGATTGATCAGGAAAGAGGGGCAGAATTACCACGACAGAAGTCCATGAGGATGAGGACCTCCCAGACATCTCCTGCTCCCACTGCAGTTATACTGGAGTCCAGGAAACCCACAATGTTCCTGTGGCCCACAAGGTCCCTCTGCACATGCACACACACAATTGGTTAATATTACAAAGAATTTAAATAACCTCATAGGTCTCTGGTTTGCTTTCAAATTCCAAACAGGCTGCCATAACAATGGTGATCTTTGTTTTTTGGATTGCCAGAGTGTATTCTGCTCCTGCTTGCTGAATCTGAGGATCTGCCAAAAGGCTGGAAGTAATAGGGTGCCTTTTGGACATGCAAACGGAAGAAATTAAATTAATCTCTTCTTTCAACATTCAATTGCATGGAGGATATGTTGAGTACGGAACAACAAATATTCTCATCTCAGGCATTAAAATCCTATAAACTAAGAGCATTTTACATTTACATTTTAGTCATTTAGCAGACGCTCTTATCCAGAGCGACTTACAGTTAGTGAGTGCATACATTTTTATTTTTTATACTGGAATCGAACCCACAACCACAAATGCCATGCTCTACCAACTGAGCTACATCCCTACCTCATATGCACCCAATAATACCACTGTGTGATAACACTTTCACACTGTCATGCCAACCTGTGTGTGCGCGCAAAAGAGAGAGCGAGAAACATAAAAATGAGCCTACAACCCAAAAAGTGTTTTGAGAAATATTTTCTTATTCAGGTGTATAGCCAGTGAGAACAGACAGTTTGATGGAATACTTGGTTACAGTAGGAGAGTGAAGTAGTAGGAAGACAACACAGACACCAGATCACCTCGGTAACCATGGCATCCCTCTGTAGTCGAACTAAGCTAGACACATCAGAAGCTACCATAACAGATTTTATCTGCACTTGTTCCACACTGTCAACCCTGTTACGGACACTTATGTAACTGCTTAACTATTATTTAAAATTCATGTTTGAGATAAATCCAACATTTTCTCATTGATCAAGTCTCCCTTGTACAAATAAACTCACGTATAATATCAAAGTGATAAAGTCACCTTTGGGCCTCGTTGAGGTTTTAGGTGAAGATCGGCCATTACTCCTCATGTTGTGAAGAGCATGGGACCACATGGTGTTCATGAAATTAGGAATTATACATGTTCCACACATAACGAAAGTTAAATCAAATTAAAGTTGATATGTTGAACTTGACCACCTCAGTTAAAGTTGATAAAACAATTATAAATAGACCAAAAAGACAGAGAAGACCTACTTCCTTTTCCACCATGCTGTTCAGAGGCCTCAAACAATGTCACTTGCTGTGAATCATTTAACTTGGTGGAATGGTCCATTATTTTAAAGGAGTAAATTGTTTGCATAACAGGGTTGGCCTTAAAATGAGGGACAGACGTAAATACATCACCAATCACATGAATATAAATAATAACCTTCAGAAATGACTGTCAAAGCAGCAAAATAACTAGGCCTTTACAATGGTGGTGAAACTTGGAGACATTTGGGGATTAAGTGAGTTGAAATCTTCCTAGAAGTGACAGGGTTGATGGAGGGACATGTCAAAATGCTGAATTTTGGCACTATAGCCATTATTCATATTAAAAATCAGATCTATTGAATTCTTCATGTGGTCTATATTATAGTGTACTTCATTTAATATGACAGGCTTTTAAAATTCAATATTGGTGCATTATTTCTACTTAAAAATATAAAAGGGACGCAAAAGGCACCCATTTCGTGGAACGACCCAATAATGATAGTCATCCTGTACCAATAATGCCCCCCAGGGTGTGGCTGCAGGGGCTGGTTATCTTACAGCATGGCCTCAAGTTAGGGAACTGAGGCCCAAGGGGGTGGGGGAGTTTATCTGCATGAATTCCAACTCAACATATTCAGCAGCAGGCTCTAACTGAGCTAAGAGTGTGACTCAGTTACTACACACCTTTCTGCTCCCTCTCTCTCTCTCTCTCTCTCTCTCCCTCCCTGTATATGTTTGTTTAAGTTAGTTTTGTCAACCCCCCCCCCCACTTCCATAGTCAGCAACTCTCTCCCATATCACCTCTTCCAGAATATAAACACAATCCTATTATTTTATTTGTGTAGTTTTATCCGTGTGGTTCTACATCAGCTTCACTACAGCAGTGGCACAGTGATTTGCCCCCTTTGTGAAGCCCATTTGTCTGAGAGAGCCTGTGCATTATAAAGGTAGACAGGGTGACAGACTGAGCAGAACTCCAGCCCAGAGCCGGTTCTCACCATGATCTGGATCTCTAGCTTGCAGATATGCAGGTCGTGCTCGTTGTTGACGTACATCCTCTTCAGGGCACAGCGCACCCCCTGGTGGGTCCGCACCAGGAACACAATGGCAAAGCCTCCTGGAGAGAGAAAGATTTCAGCATTGACCTTTGACTGAGTGGCACAGGTCACCACTGAGGCCACCTGCGTTGTCAGCTAACCTAACAGAATACAATAAACACAAGAGACCAGCTAAATATGGAGCGACAAAAATGTTTGTTTTGTGACGCTGGTTTCCCCTCGAGCCAAATGGCTAAATGACGAGCTTCGCTTTGACCTTGACAAATGTCAGTAACAGTGACTGAATTAGCACAGAGTCATGGCCAGTCAGCCTGGATGAGTCAAAGCTGCTGATACTGCATAGTGGCTGACTGGGAGTACAGCAGAGCAGAGCAGGCCTCCTTCAGTCGGTCCATTACCTCATCATGACAGCAGCACACCACACAACACTGGAAACGTTCATCCTCTCTCTCATATAAACTTCTGAAATAAATACACACTGTATGACCCCGGATAAACAGTGGCAGAGCTAGCTGGGAAGAAATGTTGTGAAATCTGTGTTCAGTCAGAGGGGTGGATTAAACTGTGGTAAAGGAAGGCTCAAAATAGCATTGGTGAGTCAGCAGTAGAGATGAGAATCAGAGGAAGACTGCAGGTGGCAGAGCAGCCGCACTGTGACTGGAGAAGGTGAAGTGTGAGTGAGAGTCCATCATCCGACTATTAGAGGCACATTGGGCTGACACACAGGGCAGTCGGCACGGCTCCAAAACAGCCCTTTTGTCTGGGTCTCTCCATTTCTCTCCCTCTCGCCTGCTAATTCAGACATATGCAGATACACAAAACCATGAGTGATTGTGTGGCTGGCTGTGCACACTATTTGTTTCTTGTGAGCCAGGAGGCAGTGCTGGCTTGCTGTGATCCACGGGTGATACAACACTGGGCTCTTTCATCTACACACCATTCACACAGTGAGGGGGCTAGCGTTGCCTCCATAAAGAATAACACCAGTCTGGAACCAAACATACTGAGCATGCATCTTAGCTAGAATTTTCTCACATTGTTCAAAGAGAGGTAAAACAGTAGTGCATTATGTCAGTGATGCAGATATGGTGTTTTGAAGGATTGGTGGCTCTACGGTGTTATTGCAGCACAGCACTGTAAGGTGTGGGTAGTATTTGTGTCTGATTACAGGCTAGTAAAAGGTGAGCTAATGCTCTGAGGGGTTGGTTGAGAGCTCTGCTGTGCTGCTGCATTGACATGCACTAGGCTAACTCAGCACCTCCCGGGCTGGCCTGCATCTGGCTGGCCCACAGCCTCCACTGGCTGAGCTGGAGGGATCAGAGCAGAGGCAGATATGGGCCAGGATCAAGTTTCACTAATCTGAAAAAGAAATTGACTTCCTATTGGTTGTTCTCTCTTCTGCATCCACACACAAGCACCATAAACACTTCACAGTGGCTCCTCACCCTGCACCACAGACAACAGGCTTGTCTGTCCTCCTGAACCTTGTAGATTATTCTTTAAAAAGGGGCCTTCATGCTCTGGGCAGAATCAATACAAACTGGGAGGTGGCTGTGTATGTGAATACAGAGCACCTGCAGCCTATAAAACAAGCGAGGTCCAAATCATTGAGAGCATTTTATTGGACAACTGCTTCCTTGTCTATTTCTACTGCTGGCACAGCTAAAGCATTTCAACCCTGCAGTGAGTCTCTGGCCATGTCCAGAATCTGGCTTGCCTGCTACTTAGTTAAAAGGCATACTGTGTACTACATACTATTTAGCAGTTACCATCAGTTACAGCTTCATATGAAGCAGAAAGGATCGTCCGTAGCCCCACCCAGTGACCTTTCATGTTGTTGTTTTGGGCTAATGTTAGCCAAGTAGCTAGCATTTGGAGTAATCTTGAGTGTACCGTAGGCCTACGCATGTATCAACTGAAGAGTCACCTGAAGCTTGAGAGGAATGGGAGATGCATAATGAGGATGACTGGCTACTACTCTGAACTGTGTGTGGTAACCACCCAGAACTGATGAGGCGTCACACAAGTGGGTGCCATACATTGTGAAGGAGAAGTCTAGTGGCTACAAGACTCAGGCTGGTTCCCAGAGTAGCCCTCTACAAGATCGTCACCAGACTCAATCTTCATCAACCATCTCCCTGACCACCTTCCTCTGATCAAGCCATGCACTGTCCCTCTCCATCTTTGGAGGATGCATGCACTCAGACTTGGCCTCTATTGGTTGACCTAGCCAACTATAGTTATGCTACTCATGCTTGTTTGTTTTTTGCTTTTGATGCGCTTTGGAATTATGAAAAGTGCTATTGAAATGTAATCAATTATTATACCAAAGATGGTTTATTTAGTTTAGTAGAGCAAAAAGCTCTGACAAAGGCCAAGAGGCCAACACGTAAGCTTCAATAAAAAAGTGATACTAGCAAGTGCAGTGTGCGGGTTTCTTTTTTGTTTACACTTATCTAATTGTTATTATACACTGGGTGGTTTGAGCCCTGAATGCTGATTGGCTGACATCCGTGGTATATCAGACCGTATACCACGGGTATGACAAAAGTTATTTTTACTGCTCCAATTACGTTGGTAACCAGTTTATAATAGCAATAAGGCACATCGGGGGTTTGTGGTATATGGCCAATATACCATGGCTAAGGGCTGTATACAGGCACTCCACGTTGCATTGCGCTTAAGAACACTCCTTAGCCGTGGTATATCGGCCATATACCACACCCCCTCGGGCCTTATTGCTTACCCATGCACCAGCAACAAGATAGCTCAGATTTGCGAGTGCATTTTTTAAATGTTGAAATGTTGAAAGTAAAACACACCAACAGTAAATGTACCGGTATCAATTATTATTATTTTTATTACAAACAATAAACACTTTTTGATGAGAAAACTTAAATCCACTTTGGGTTTTACAAAAGGAAAATGAGTAAATTAAAGGGATACTTCCAGATTTTGGCAATGAGGCCCTTTATCTACTTCCCCAGAGTCAGATGAACTTGTGGATACCATTTGTATGTCTCTGTGTCCAGTATGGAGGACGTTAAACTAGCATTAGAGCAATGACTGGAATTATTTGGGTATCTACTAGCATGCTAGCAGATCGCACAATGACTGGAAGTCTATGGGTAATGCTCGTTAACGCAACTTCGAGTAGCTAGCTTTACTAAAGGCACAGCAGGCAGCAGATCTGTTTTCAAAGAAGTAATGTTACAATTAAATAGTCGTGATCATTTTAAGGAGAACAAAAAAACGACTTCCATCTGAAGACCACCGCAGAAGCTTCGCTATTCGCTATCTTGCAAGTCGTCTACTCAAAGAGATCTAGCTATCAAAACTTGCAGCCCCCCTCTTCCAATGCATTTTAAATTCCCGAAAAGTGTGCAGCGAATTTTACTAGAGGAAAAGCCGAAATTAGTATAACATCCTGGCATTTAAACGACACTAGATTTTCGAAAATGCACATAATATAACACTTCCTATTTCCGCATACTCAAACGGCCTACTATTTAAGACGCAAGTATGGGCCTACGGGCACAGGCCTCGGTCTTTATTACTCACTCGGACAGACACAAACACAGTCAGTCCTATTAGAGGAGGCTGCTGCTGCTGCTCAGAGAGGCCTGTGGGTAGCCAGCCCCGTGCTCTCCCAGGCCAGAATGCCGTGTGTTGCTGCTTGCGCTGAGCAATGCCCTGGGCTGAGTCATCCAGCTCGCCTCGCATCACTAAGCCAAGGACATGGTATTAGTAAATGTATGACCCATGGGCCAGGCTAAAATCAACTCCCTTCTGTATTTTCTATTCATCACAGCTGCACTATAATTAATCACCATAGACCTAAGTATTGAGTATTAAAGACAGAATGAGGAAGATGAGTTGAAAGAAACCCCATGCGGCTTATTTATGATTGACCGCTTTGAGAACTTTTTAAATAGGCTGTCTCAGCAGTTTGTACTGTCTCATATGAACAAGTTCAAACACATTCATGCAAATGTATGCAAAATAGTGTATCCAGCAAAGCTTGTTTTGTGCCTGAATCAAATTGAACATCAGAATACACTGTGAGGGCAAGTACACAAACATGTAAACACTCCAGAGTCTGTGTGTGTGTGTGTGTGTGGTCCTGCCTCAGCTGATGTTGGGTTTGCCCTGCCAAGCACCTGCTAGTTCGCGCCTTCTAATCTCGGGCGCCTGCATGAAATTAGAGGGATTAGCAACCTTCTTAAATTACATGCACCAGCACACTGACTCTTACCAGACTGGGCAGGCCAACAACAAGAGCTACAAAATACCCCTTTAACACTGATGACAGTCAGTATAATACCCTGCTGTCCACTCAACCAAACACATACAAATAGAAACACTTTTTGGATACAGTTCAGTAAACTGCAATGGAGCTTGTGTAACAGCAGGTAGCCTACTATAAATAAACACGACTACTATATTGTTTACAAACATGCTCACTGAGGAGTATGCATTACCCTGCATTCTGCATTGAGAAGACAATTCTACTGGCAATGTCTTGTCTCCAGTAGGCATTAATATTAAACCAGCTTGCACCAGCTGATACTAATTGGTGAATAGAAAAATTAAAAGACAGCCAGTTTAAAAGTCGAGCCTTGCATTTTCCCCAGTATGCCCCAGTGGCTGCATTGTGTGTGTGATGGTGGCAGCAGCAGCAGCAGGAAAGCTTCCTCCATGACAATGCCAGTCATATATGGATGACTACACTTGATACTTACATGCGACTTCTGCTATCAGAATACGAAGACCGCATTGAAAAGACGGGTCTAGACGCACAAAAGTCGATTTGTGGTCTGATTGTGTTCAGATCTGGCTGACCACTTCAGGAGGTGGTCAGGGATGCATTGTGTGCAGATTTATCCTCAGTCTGGATGCAATCAGGCTACCGAAAGCACGTACAGTGTGCGACGTCATCAGCACTCTTCCCACAAAACGTGTGTTTTGGGACCGAGAGGCACCTTTTCATTATAACGTTGGAAGAAATACGTTCCTAGCGTATGAAGAACGTCTTCGCAAAACTATTTATTGTTTGGCTAGAGTTATGCTAACCCGTTTGCAATCCCTTTAGTGTTGCTTGCTAGCTTGCTACAGAGGTTTGCTGGCTAGTTAGCTACTGCCATCAGTTGTGATATCATACTTTGACTATTCCACCGTTTGTAGAACGCATACTGGCATTTGAATATAGTGTGGGAAAAGGGAATCTGGACACGGTAGACACATTTAAATGTAGGTGTAGATGCATGACGCGTTTGGAATTCCATGATCAGAACGACATGATCAGAATACGAAAGCTGCATGAACTGTCAAGTCTAGACACAGACATAGAGCACTGGAGAGGGCTAGTGTTACCATACCAGCAGTAATATTATGC